TCCTCAGTTAGATCAGAAAGGGGGAGAAGTCTAAATCAGGACTCTGTACAGCACTTCATCACTGAAAGGAGACCAGATTTGTGGTGTTCAAATTTCTTTTTTTTTCCTCGTTGAGTTTATTGGTACATTTTAGGTATACAGTACAATTATATTCATCATAGGGATCTTGTACCTTTACATGACAGGCCTTTTTTCTCATTTTTTCCCCTCGTCCCTGCCCTCCCTTCACCCCCTCCTCCCCTCCCCTTTACAAACACTTCATTTCCATTTTTTCATTTTCTCATATTTTTTCTTTTCCCTTAAAATGCAGAGAAGAAGCAAGTGAGGAACCTATCATTCCATGATCTAGACAAAACAGATGTGAGGCTGTGAGAGCCAGGAAGGTGCTTGGTGAGGGAGTCTCCATCCCATAACCCTGGCTGTAGGCAAAAGCTCGTGGAGTGGCCGTGGGAAGAATGGTCCCACAGGAGCCCACCCGCTGGTGAAGCCACTGGCCAGGCTTTGGATTGCACTGAGTGGCCACCTCAGGTCAGCAGGGCTCTAACCCAAATCAGTGTCATCACTGACCCCTCTAACGTAGCGCTTTTCTTTTTTAAATTTTATTAGTACACATTTGCAGTACATAATGATTACATTTGTTCTGGGGAGTTGGTAGATAATACTTCATTCTTTTTTTTTCCCTATCCCTTACCTCTCCCCTTCCTCTTTGCTCTTGGTCCCTTTCCCATTTGTAAAAGCTCTGTTTTCATCATCTTTCCCTTCAGTTCCTTTTTTAAAAATCCCCTTCACTTTTCTTTAAAAATGTACTATGAAACTGCTAGTGAGCACTGTTCTTATTTATGCAGTTAATATTTACCATATGTACCCTATTCTTACATGGAGAAACAAAGAAAGTAAGGAAAAATCACTTTCCCAAGTCCATAGTTTAAAACCATGGACAGCAGACAGACAGACCTGAATGAATAAGTGGCTATGTAGGGTAGGGCCCTATCTTTTTTTTTTTTTTTTTTTTTTTTTTTTTTTTGGTACCAGGTATTGAACTTGGGTTCTTGTGCTTTCGAGGCAGGTGGCAGATAAATCCCTGTACCATAGGGCCATAACTTTTTTTCCCCCTCATTGAGTTTATTAGTACATTTTAGGTACAGTTACATTCATCATTGGGATCTTGTACCTTTACATGACAGGTCTTGGTTCTCATTTTTTCCCCTTGTCCCTGCCCTCCCTTCACACCCTCCTCCCCTCCCCATTTACAAACATTTTATTTCCATTCTTTCATTTTCTCTTTTTTTCTTTCCCTTATTACCTTTCCCCACCCTTCCCACTTTCCCTACACCTTTAGCCCTTTTCTTCCTATTTCATGTTGTCAAATATCTCATTAGGATCTTATGTACTATTATAGTTTATTCACACCAGAGAAACTATTTGGTATTTACACATGTGTGACTTATTTACTTCACTTAGGAGTATATCTTCAATATGAATCCATTTTCCTATGAATGACTCTAATTTCTCATTCTTTATGGCTGAGTAGTATTCCATTTTATAGAAAAACCACATCTTCCTTATCCAGTCTCCAACTGATGGGCAAATGGGCTGTTTCCAAGTTTTAGCTGTTACAAACTGTGCTGCTATAAACATAGGTGTGCATATATCACTGTGATATGATTCTTTTAATTCTTTTGGAAAGATACCCAACAGACGGATGGCTGGGTCAAATGGAACCTCTAGTCCCAGCTCTTTGAGATATCTCCATATTGATTTCCATAGTGGTTGCACTAGTCTGCACTCCCACCAACAATGGAGAAGGGTTCCTTTCTCCCCACAACCCTGCCAACATTTGTTATTGAGTGATTTCTTGATAGCAGCCATTCTTTGTAAGGTGAGGTGGAATCTCATTGTTGTTTTCATCTGCATTTCTCCAATGACCAGTGATGTGGAATATTTTTTTCATATATGTACTTGCTGCTTTTACTTCTTTGTCTGATAAATATCTGTTCATTTTACATGCCCATTTTTGAATCAGGTCCTTATATTGGGGTCTGATTGTTTTGAGTTCTTTATATATTCTAGATAATAGTCCTTTGTCTGAGGAGCAGCTGGTAAAAATTTTTTCCCACATTGTAGGCTGTCTCTTAGTTTTGCTGATGGTTTCTTTTGCAGTGCAGAAGCTTTTTAATAAGATGAGATGAGATCTTAGTTGTTGATTCTTCCTGCTAGTTCCTGTGCTACTAAGGATTTATTTATAAAGTCTTTTCTTATGCCAATGTCTTCAAGAGTTCTGCCTAATTTATCTTCTAGCAAGTTTAGTGTTTCTGTTTTAATATTTAGATCTTTAATCTACTTGGATTTTAATTTAGTGCATGTGACAGATAAGGGTCAATTTTAATCTTTGGTAGGTTGAGATCCAGTTTTTCCAACACCATTTATTAAAGTGGCTATCTTTCCTCCAGTGGGGACTGTCAGCTCCTTTGTCAAAGATAATGTAGGTGAGTGTGTTTGGAGTTTTTTTTTTTTTTTTTTGTGTGTGTGTGTGTGTGTATGTGTGTGTGTGTGTCTTCCAATCTGTTCCACTGATCCTCAGGTCTTTTTCTTTGCCAGTACCATGCTGTTGTTATCACAGTGGCTTTGTAGTATAGTTTCAAATTGGGAATTGTTATACCCGCTGCCATGTCTCTGTTGCCTAGGATGGCTTTTGCTATGCTAGGTCTATTATGGTTCCAAATGAATTTTTGGATTCTTTTTTCTAGTTCTGTGAAATATAGTGTTAGAATTTCAATTGGCATTGCATTGAATCTATATAGCAGTTTTGGTAGTATGGCCATTTTCACTATGCTGATTCTTCCTACCCAGGGGCAGGGGATATCTTTCCATTTTCTTATATCCTCCTTGATCTCTTTTTTCAGAGTGCTGTAGAGGTCTTTTGCTTCTTTTGTTAGATTGACTCCTAGATACTTCTTTTTTTATGCTATTGTGAAAAGAATTTTTTCCCTAATTTCTTTCTCTGTGAGTCTGTTATTTGTGGACAAGAAGGCTATTGATTTTGGGGTGTTGAACTTGTATCCAGCTACTCTGCTAAAAGTGTCAATTAAGTCTAGAAGTCTTTTGGTGGAGTTTTTGGGGTCTTCAATGTAGAGTATCATATTGTCAGTAAATAATGACAGTTTAACTTCTTCCTTTCCCATCTTTATTGCTTTATTGTCTTTCTCTTGTCTAATTGCTGTGGCTAATGTTTCCAGAACTATATCGAAGAGAAGTGGTGATAGTGGGCATTCTTGTCTTGTTTCTGATTTTAACATGAAGGTTTCAGTGTTTAGCCATTTAATATGATGTTGGCTGTTGGTTTTTCATAGATAGCCTTTATTAAGTTGAGGTATAGACCATAGAGCCATATCTTAAAGTCAGGTACAGAAGACTTAAACTGAATGGTGGAAGAATGTTCTTTTACATTTGCATTTGCTACACTTTTTGGCTAAGTGATAAAGGTGGTATTTTAAGAAATTAAGTCTGGAAAAAAAAGAAATTAAGTCTGAAAGTAATGTTCAAGATGTACTAGAGCAGGAACAAATCAGTGCTGCACAGAGCTGAAGGTAACACCAAAAATCTAAAATGTACTTTTTGCATCATCTTTCACTTTGCCAAGAGGTTTGATGCATACTTCACTTGACTTTCACAGTAACCTGTGGTGGTATAGATACAACAGTGGTGGGGCTGGGTATTTAGCTCAGTGATTCTGGCGCCTGCCTTGTAAGTGCAAGGACCCAAGTTCAATCCCCAGTACCAAAAAAAAGGAAAGAAAATGGTGCCTTCATTCTGTGGATGAGGAGACACAGGCCTAGAATAGTCAGATGGTGCACTCAGAGTCACACAGCTCTGAGTGACAAAGGAGGGGGTGAATGGAGGACAGAGACAAGGGGAAAAATGGGAACCAAGACCTGTCATGTAAAGGTACAAGATCCAGATAATGAATGTAACTGTATTGTATACCTAAAATGTACCAATAAACTCAATGAGGAAAAAAAAAAAAGCAAAGAAAGGAAGGAAAGCTAGCTAGCTAGCTAAAATTCTTAAATACAATTATATTACTCCTCATTTCTTTTTCCATTTTTTTTTTATTTTTGGTTTTTTGAGACAGGGTCTCACTATGTAGTTGAGATTGACCTGGAACTCACTGTGTAGCCCAGGCTGGTCTTGAATTTACAGTGATCCCCCTGCCTCAATCTCCCTGGTGCTGGGATTACAGGTGTGCACCACCACACCTGGCCTCATTTCTTCTTATATATATTTGTTATTGGTCACTGCATTGTAAACCTATTTTTCCCCTTAAGTAAACTAGTTCACAACCTGAGCCTCTGCTGGTGCCCAGGGCTTGTCTGAGATACCTAATCTAAATCACATCTGTCGTAAACATCTCCTTCTGACCTTTCAAATGTTCTCTAATCTCATTTAAAACTCCTTCATAAAAAAGAAAAAAGAACTGCCCTAACTTCTTACTTTTGATCCCTACTTTCTCTTTCTTGGTCAAATACAGAAGAGGAAAACAATTTACACATAAAATAAAGTGAACAGTGTATGAAAAATAAAAATCCCAGACCTCTTTCCAAATAGTAGTTGGCCTTACAGCTCATTTCTAAGAGTTCCAAACTGTCTTTTTGATTATGGCCCTTATAGTTATTTTTTCACTAAGCTGCATACAGCATCTCTTAGCAACCCCAAGCTTCATGGGCAGCATCCTAACTCCTGTGACACCAACTGTGTGTAGGTAGTCAACTTCTTTTAAAAGACCTGGAGTTATTCAAACAAGTGCCAGAATTTAATTCTCTTTGAAAAATAAATGAAAAAAACCATAAAGGGTCATAAAATGGTTTCTTCCAGCAGGGCCCTTGGCTTTTTGGCTACATCAGAAACAATGGTAGGGAGGAACCACTGATTGAGCTTGCAGAACTTTTACCCCAGTGTAAAAGGTCATGGCTGTAAGTATCTTTCTTCCTAATCTCTTCTAGGATTGTGAAGATGTCCAGTCCCAATCTGAACATCGTGACCTTGTTGGGAAGTTGTCTGACTTACAGTAGCGCTTACCTCTTTGGAATTCAAGATGATCTAGTGGGGAGCTCAATGGAAACTCTCATCCAGGTAGGTGATATTTTGAAAATAACTACTCCTATGAGTGGTGGTTTCCTGTATCTTGGTGTGCACACTTTCAGAAGTGATCCCTGGCACACAGTCAGCAAGGCCCACTTCTTGCCCATGCCCTCTGAAGACTGAAGGGTTTGCAGATCAGAATACATGGAGAAGTGATGAAGGTTCCTCTCATGACTCTTGCTTCTGTCCCCTTCTACCTGTAGATAAGACTGTCCATGCTGTGCATTGGGACCTCCCTTGTGTTTGGTCCCATTCTGGGGAAGAGTTGGCGACTCTACAAGGTGTTTACCCAGAGAGTCCCGAACAAGAGAGTGGTGAGTAGGCAGCAGCAAGTACACAGTGCTGGATTGCATACAAAAGCTCCACAGAAGATTAAAAGCTAGAGAGGCTGCTACAGATCACCAGAACTCCTTTTAGAATAACCTGAAATTCTTGTTCCTGGCTTCAAAGTCATGTGGCCTTTACAGCTCCAAGCCTAGAAGACCATGAGTCATTGCTTTGGGGAGCTGTGTTTTTGGACATATGCTCTGCTTCCTTGGGCACCCATCCCAGGCCCTGTGGGCACCTGTGAGCTAGCCCAAATCTGACACCAGTGTGAGAGAGAACAAGATATCCAAGGAGACTGTTGCTTGCTTGGCGCAGGTATGAGCTGGAAGGAAAAAAAGCTGTAGAAAGTAAAGCTGTAGCAAATTAGCAGAATATCCTCCACCCATACCGGCCTGAAACTCACTTCTCCTTTATGTTAAGGGCAGTTCTCTGCACTGAGATGGAGCTAGAGCAGTAAGAAGCAACACCAAAAGCCAATGGCAGCCAGATCACCCACAGGTTCCTGATGTCAGGCATCACTGTAACCACATCCTTCTATTTATCAAGTTCCCTGATAAGACGGCCCAGACTCAAGACCTAGCCATCAGCCCAAACCTAATACATCATTCAGTTGAAGTCTACTTCTCTGGAATGATGGGATCTTTTAGTAAGCATTATTGAATGATGGTGAATCTTTATCAAAAGCTTAGCTGTAAGTAACTACACAGATGAAAATGTGTAGCAAAATGTTCATCTAACCCTCTGGAAGACTGATTCCTTTTTCAGAAATATCTGTTTGAGACATAATTGACAATGCAATCAATTACATGTACTGAAAGTCTATGATTTGATAAGTCTGACTCATGTGTAAACCCATAAAATATGGTGGATAATGAACACAACCTTCCTCAGTCCCTTGTGTTGTCCAGTCACTACATCTCCTGTCCCTGTTCTCGGGACATCATTAATTTGCTTGCTGTCCTTGTGGATCGGTTTTATTTCCCAGAGTTTTATGTACACAGAATCATGCAGAATGTAGTCTTCCTTTGCCTAGCTTATTTTAGTCACATGATTATTTTGATGAATACTGTAATTATTCAACCATGTTACTTCGTGTGTTAGTAGTTCTCTTGTTACTGTTGCTGAGTAGTATTCCAGTATGTAGATTGCCTGTTGATGGATGTTTGGCTTGTTACCAGTTTGGGACTATTAAAAAAATAAAGAGACTATGAACTTTCTTGTATACCTCTTTATGTAGACTTATGCTTTCGTTTCTTTTTTATACAGATCTAAGAGTAGAATGGTTGGCCTGCCTAAGTACTTATTTAAGTTTTTAAGAAAATGCCAACTGTTTACGGAAGTGATTGCATCAGTCTGCATTTCTACCAATAGTACTTGAAATCCATTTCCTCTGCTCATCTCTGCCAACATCTGATTTAGTGATATTTTCATTTTAGCCATTCTAGTAGGTTCTCTCTAGTCCAGTCTAGTAATAGTCTCTTGTTGTGGTTTTCATTTTCATTTTCCTAGTGCACTGTTGAACATCTCTTCACATGTTTATTTTCCATTCATCTATCTTCTTTTGTGAAGTGTCTGTTCAGATCTTTCACCTGTTTTTTTCTGATTGGGTGTGTTTTCGTTTTTTATTTTTGAGTTTTAAATGATATAAGCTACATACTATTGTCATTTTTATTTAAGTAATTAGTTATCTTTTAAAGGTATTTAATAAAATCAATCCCAAATTTTCCTTGTGGTTACTATTTCCAGCATACTTAATTTCTTTTTTAATATATCAATTATAATATATTTATTTTTAATTTTTTTTCTCATTGAATGTATTGGTACACTTTAGGTATACAGTACAATTACATTCATTATTGGGATCTTGTACCTTTACATGACAGGTCTTGGTTCTCATTTTTCCCCTTATCCCTGCCCTCCCTTCACCCACTCCTCCCTTTAATTTCATATATAGATCCACATTTTCATGCGGTATCATTTTCCTTTTACCTGAAGGATGTCTAACATTCTCATGTGGGTATGCTAGTGCTGCATTCTTACAGATTTTGTATATATATAAAAAAGTCTTTATTTTGCCTTTGTTTCTGAAGGATTCTCTTTTCTTTTTATTCTCTTATTTCTCTTTTCTTTTTTGCTGGGAATTAAACTGGGCTTCAAGCATGCCAGGCAAGTGCTCTACCACTGAGCTATGTCCTCGGCCCCTGTCTTTTCTTCAGTACTTTGAAGCTGTCCCTCTACTGTCTTCTCGTTTAGCCTCATATCTGATGAGAAGGGTGGTATCTTTTTTTACACGTAATATATCTTGTTGCTTTGGAGAATTTCTCATTATTATTGGTCTTGAGCAGTTTTATTAGGCAGCGGACTTATTTTCATCTTACAAACACATGGAATCATGTAACTAGTTGGGCTTCTTTCTTCCCACTAGTTGACAAGAGCTCAAACACACATTTTTGCCCCAATTCATCAGTGCTCTGTACATTCCTCACCTGGGCCTTCCTCATACTTACTTTCTCCCTTCCCTGGTATTTTCAGTGTTTCATGCTGTCACAGTATGTATTTTTCTTAGTTTTATTTTTATGATCACAAAATTAACATAGTCTCTTCATATAAATGGTGTATATGTGTGTTTAAAAAGTACGTTTTTACATATTATAGTTCTCTTGTTCCCACACCTCTCAACCCCACCCTCTCAGTTGACAGTTGTTACCACCTTGATATTAAAAACCTCCACATTTCTCTATGTGTTCATATAAACACATCTAGAAATAGCAGTGTATTTATTTTATAAGACCCTTTGAGTCCTTTGTCAGAAAAGACAGAATGTAAAAAGGTTAAAACAAATGAAAATATTTAGTGATAACAATGATGAAAACAACATAGAAGCCACTATAAATGTTTGGTGCCTGTTTCATTTTTGACGGCTGTGTTTGAAGCTCCTTGGAAGGACTGTCCCTGGAGCCCATAGTCCATGTAAAAATACTTTGGCCTCGTTGTTACGTAACCAGCAAGCAAAAGGACATTTTGACCTTGACTCTTGCAGATTATCAAAGACCTACAGTTACTGGGGTTGGTAGCAGCCCTGGTGATGGCTGATGTGGTCCTGCTCATGACATGGGTACTGATCGATCCCATCCAGTGCCTCCAGATCCTTGGTGTCAGCATGACGGTGAGTGGCCTAATCCCTGGGGAATCTAGTTCCTGACCTGAGCCGGCCTCTGTGCTCTACAGGGTCCTTTTCTCAACACCGCCCACTGTGTGGCTGTCCCTGTACAAGAAGAGGAAGAAGAGTCAAGAGCAGTGGCTGCCACTCCCCTTCTCCTCCTGCACCAGTCTTTGAGTGTCCCCTGAGATGGCAGCACTCTAGAGCTGACCTGGCAATTATCTCTGCTTCCACATCACCAATATTAAGAACTTTCAGCTACAAGAAGTTGCCTTCCCCTAACTGTTGAGAGGCAGAGGTAGTATTTTGAGGTAGAGTTCTTTATTCCTGGCTTAAATCCCACTTCTTCCATGCTCACCAGCCCCATAACCTTGAGAAAGTTATTTAACCTCTCAAAGTCTCTTTTCCAAATAAGGTACAGATAATGATACTGCCTATTTTGTAGGGCTATGATGAAGATTAAGAGAAACAAGTAAAAGACTTAATATGCTTTGGCACATGGTATTCAATTAATAGGAAGTATGTCTCCAACCTCATAGGGGACTGAAGAATATAGAGGAATCAACCATACCTGTAATCCCAGCACTTGGGAGGCTGAGGCAGGAGGATCACTGTGAGTTTGAGACCTGCTTGGGCTATGTAGTGAGTTCCAGGTCAATTTCAACTACATAGTGAGACCCTGTCTTAAAAAACCAAAA